TTTGCAGTTTATAAAACTCCGTGGGTTAAACATTTCAGGTTTAACACAGTTTTATTACATAAGAAACCTGAGATTAATAAAAGTTAAACAAATTGTTCAAGGGAAATTTAGCCAATAAAAATAGAACCTAAATGTTCGAAATCCAATTCTAGAAAATGTCTCTAATACTCTCATTAGTAAAGTTATTTTAGTAAAGAGAAGGAAAAGAGACTGCTTAGGTGAGGAGACAAGGTCAAAGGCATTTGATGAACTTCTCTCATGCCCTAGAAAATTTTTCAGGTGCTTTCTCATTGAATCTCTTTTAATCATTTTACTATTTAAAAACTAGATGACTGAATGAGATTACAAACATATCTAGCTTTATTGAGTTATAATTGACATACAATAAATTGCACATATATAAGGTGTATAACTAGATAAATTTTCACACATGCACACATACATATGAAAACATTATCATATCAATATAATGAACATATCCATTATCTCTAAAAGTTTCCTTGTGTCCCTTAGTAGTCCCTCCTTTCTTATATTCCCTGTTTTTCCATCCTTAAGCACTCACTCACTCATCTGCTTTCTGTCACTATAGATTAGTTTGCATTTTCTAAAGTTTTATATAAATGGAGTATTATACAGCATGTTCTCTCTACTGTCTGGCTTACTTCACTCAGCATTAATTATTTTCAATTAATTCATGTCATTTTCTGTATCTATACCTCATTCACCTCATTTTAAGTCTAGAAAATATCACATTGGGGGAGGGTGGGGGGAAGGGGGAGAGATCAACCAAAGGACTTGTATGCATGCATATAAGCTAACCAATGGACACAGACACTGGGGGGTGAGGGCACAAGGGGGGGGGAGAGTGGGGACAATTGGGGGTTAAGGACACATATGTAATACCTTAATCAATAAAGAAAAGAATCACATTGGTTTGTCACTCATTCAAAGACTTAGGACTAGATCAGAACTCTCCTTGAACGTTGGCTATATTTTATTTGAAACTTTTCTCTGCTATCTTTTCATTCCAAACACTTAGCTTATTAGTGTCTCTCAACGCATCAAACAATCTGAATCTTTGAGATTGTTTTGAACTTATGCTATTCATTAATATTTTCACATGTACGTTCTCATAATTACTAAATGTCTAGATGATAAATGCCAGTCTCTAGAGATATATGTGCCACAAATACATTTCTTACTCAAATGAGCTGACAGTCTAACATAAAAGGTTCTCATACAAACAAATAGTTACAAAGCAATGAGAGTAGTGTTATGGCAGAATCATGGAGCAGGTGCTGCTAGACCTTGCTACTCCAAAGGTAACCCATGGCCTGTCAATCTTAGCATCCTGCTGGAAGAAATTAAGAATCTCAAGCCCCTTCCATGACCTACTAAATAACAATCTGCATTTTAACAAGACCCTCACCTGATTCCTGAGTACATTAACTTTGAGAAGCACTCCATAGGAAATAAGAATAAGAAAATAGTGAGCTTATGGAAAACCTGAAATGTTATCTTTGTAGAATATCCACAACTTGATCCTATATTTGGAGGAGGGGGAGTGAAAGGGACATAGAGAAGGGCAGAGACTCACTGTGCTTCCTCTCTTCCTTTGGACAGTTTGCTATTTCTGGATTTTTGTCAATTATGTCTGAAAAGGAAAATGCAACATATCTGGTGAGTTGCAATTCTGTTGTTCATCCTTGAGAAGGTAAGAAAAGTTGAATTTTAGGAGTCTTGAGGGAGACATGCCGTCGTCTCTTATGTTATGAGATAATGTGGATATGTGACTTTTCCTCCCCACTCTATTTTGTTTTGGTTATAAGCATTAAAATATCAGTTGTGTCATTTTAAAACTATAAAGTGTAACTACCTTGCCACTTGTTTAGAAAATATCCTCATACCAGCCTTATCCTTGTAAGTATAGACCAGGGGTCCTCAAACTTTTTAAACAGGGGGCCAGTTCACTGTCCCTCAGACTGTTGGAGGGCCGGACTATAGTTTAAAAAAAACTATGAACAAATTCCTACGCACACTGCACATATCTTATTTTGAAGTAAAAAAACAAAACGGGAACAAATACAATATTTGTATTTGCATGTGGCCTGCGGGCCGTAGTTTGAGGACCCCTGGTATAGACATTTCTATACTAATAAAAGGGTAATATGCTAATTAGACCAGACATCTTCTAGATGTCCTTCTGTACAAAGCCACGGAGGCAGGGCCTAGGCAGAGGCAGTTAGGGGCAATCAGGCTGGCAGGGGAGAGCAGTTAGGGAGATCAGGCTGGCAGGGGAGAGCAGTTAGGGAGATCAGGCTGGCAGGGGAGAGCAGTTAGGGAGATCAGGCTGGCAGGGGAGAGCAGTTAGGGAGATCAGGCTGGCAGGGGAGAGCAGTTAGGGAGATCAGGCTGGCAGGGGAGAGCAGTTAGGGAGATCAGGCTGGCAGGGGAGAGCAGTTAGGGAGATCAGGCTGGCAGGGGAGAGCAGTTAGGGAGATCAGGCTGGCAGGGGAGAGCAGTTAGGGAGATCAGGCTGGCAGGGGAGAGCAGTTAGGGAGATCAGGCTGGCAGGGGAGAGCAGTTAGGGAGATCAGGCTGGCAGGGGAGAGCAGTTAGGGAGATCAGGCTGGCAGGGGAGAGCAGTTAGGGAGATCAGGCTGGCAGGGGAGAGCAGTTAGGGAGATCAGGCTGGCAGGGGAGAGCAGTTAGGGAGATCAGGCTGGCAGGGGAGAGCAGTTAGGGAGATCAGGCTGGCAGGGGAGAGCAGTTAGGGAGATCAGGCTGGCAGGGGAGAGCAGTTAGGGAGATCAGGCTGGCAGGGGAGAGCAGTTAGGGAGATCAGGCTGGCAGGGGAGAGCAGTTAGGGAGATCAGGCTGGCAGGGGAGAGCAGTTAGGGAGATCAGGCTGGCAGGGGAGAGCAGTTAGGGAGATCAGGCTGGCAGGGGAGAGCAGTTAGGGAGATCAGGCTGGCAGGGGAGAGCAGTTAGGGAGATCAGGCTGGCAGGGGAGAGCAGTTAGGGAGATCAGGCTGGCAGGGGAGAGCAGTTAGGGAGATCAGGCTGGCAGGGGAGAGCAGTTAGGGAGATCAGGCTGGCAGGGGAGAGCAGTTAGGGGGATCAGGCTGGCAGGGGAGAGCAGTTAGGGGGATCAGGCTGGCAGGGGAGAGCAGTTAGGGGGATCAGGCTGGCAGGGGAGAGCAGTTAGGGGGATCAGGCTGGCAGGGGAGAGCAGTTAGGGGGATCAGGCTGGCAGGGGAGAGCAGTTAGGGGGATCAGGCTGGCAGGGGAGAGCAGTTAGGGCAATCAGGCCAGCAAGGGAGAGCAGTTAGGGGTATCAGGCCAGCAGGGGAGAGCAGTTAGGGGATCAGGCAGGTAGGGGAGAGCAGTTAGGGGAATCAGGCTGACAGGAGAGAGCAGTTAGGGGTGATCAGACTGGCAGGGGAGCAGTTAGGGGCAACCAGGCAGGCAGGGGAGCAGTTAGGGGCATCAGGCAAGGCAGAGTGGTTAGGGGCAATCAAGCAAGCAGGCAGAGTGGTTAGGGTTGATCAGGGAGGCAGGCAGGTGAGCAGTTAGGAGCCAGCGGTCCCGGATTGTGAGAGAGATGTCCGACTGCTGGTTTAGGCCTAAACAAGCAGTTGGACATCCTCTGAGGGGTCCCAGATTATAAGAGGGTGCAGGCCGGGCTTAGGGATCCCCCCTCCCCCCGTGCACGAATTTCATGCACTGGGCCTCTAGTGATCATAGAAATGATTTATTTCCAATTAAGGAGACTATTTGAGGAGAGACTGTGTGCCCATGTGGGTTTTCCTGAATGCGGTCCTAGCAAGAAAGTTATAAATCCTTAATAAACAAATACATTTTAAAGAGCTCCTCTTTTAATCTCTATTTTGTATATATGCAGAATTTACTGTATACATCCAACCCTGAAATGTTGATGGGTTAATTGAATGCACTGGCAGGTGCAGGAACAGGTCTAAGTGTTTTTATTATCAGGTGCAAGGAAGCCTGGGAGCGAATTTGATCAGTGGCATAGCTGCAGGAACAGGAATCTTTATCCTGGTCACCAACCTAAAGAACAGCTTGGCTTATATCGATATTTGCCAGGAAGGTTATGAGGATGACTTCTGTATAGCGGCCTTTTTTTCCACAGTATGTATTTCTTAATCCTAATCTAAGTAAAAAAGCCCCCATTTCCTTTTTTCATGGACACAAACCTTTTTTTGCAACCTCTATCACATAATGTGGTATTCTGTAGGTTCATGCACAGAGATGCTGATGACCTCTCCCCCTTGTCCCCAGCTCAATTCTGCAAGGTTGGAGTCATCTGCCTTGAGTAACCATCTCCTGGTTTTCGTGTGTGTGTGTGTGTGTGTGTGTGTGTGTGTGTGACTCTATAGGGACTGCTCATGTGGGTGCGATGAAAATGGGAGCTGCTGTAAGGGAATGTACCTTGGGAACACCTAACTTGTGTCCCACTCTGTCTTTTTTTGGTTATTGTTCAACAGGAACTTGTGGCGATGATCCTGTTTCTTACCATTCTGGGGTTTGGGGCTGCTGTATTACTCATAGCCTACAGAATTGGAGAACTATTCAAAGAAAATCAGGTAGGCAGAGGCCCGATACTAAATCATGAATGACAGGCTAAAGAATTTGAGCTTATTCCCTAAAACATACGGCCTAAATTTCCTAGAACATTTCTTCCAAGAAAGTATTTCTTGGCTCAGCCGGCATGGCTCCGTGGTCGACCTATAAATCAGGAGGTCACGATTCGATTCCAAGTTAGGGCATATGCTCTGGTTGCGGACTCAATCCTCAGTGTGGGGCCTGTAGTGTGCAGAAGACAGCCAATCAATGATTCTCTCTCATCATTTATGTTTCTCTCTCTCTCTCTCTCTCTCTCTCTCTCTCTCTCTCTCTCTTCCTCTCTGGAATCAATAAAAATATAAAAGAAAAAAAAGAAAGTATTTCTCTAAGTTTCAGTGTTTTTGTTTCCAAATCTCATGTTTCAAATCACATTTCCTACTTCTAAGTAGCATAAATATCAGTATAGTTCTGTGATGGAGGGTTAAGAAAATTGAACCTTTATCATTTTAGAAAATGCAGATGGTTTGAAATGTATTAGGCATGAAATGAATGAGCAGCTAGCATGTGATGGAACCACTCAGATACCTGGGCTTATTTTCTGTCCCAGAAGAGCTCCCTTATATTTGTTCCCCTTCTGTCTTTTTTCCTTGGCTTTCACCTTACCACTTGCTCTGAAGCCTCAGTGTTTTCTCCTCCTTAATTTACAACTATCACCTGCATTTCCTCTTGCCTTACACACCCATTGCACCTTGGATGTAGGAAAAAGAATTGCTAATACTTGATGCACATACACTTACTCAGATCTTCCAGATGAAACATACTCTCTCGAGTTGCCCATCTGTCCACTTGCCTGAAGCATTCAAGAGTGGCTGCCTTGTTTAGATCACTTTCCTCCAAAGACAATCAAGACAGTAGATGTACTAAAGTTCAGACACACTCACCAACTTGTCATTGACCAACATAATTTATTTTGGGCCCACCAATCTGGCTTGGTTTGTTGGAGATGGAGGGAATAATTAGAGTGTAATGGGAGAGAATATGAGATCCAGAAAGACAAAAAGAGATGATATATATCTCTTGAACAAGTCTTCTTGGTGACTGATAGTGAATAATGTTTTCTTCACCAGATTCCAGAAGATCGTCTCTATGAAGAATTAAACATATATTCACCAATTTACAGTGAGTTGGAAGACAGAGTGGAGACATCTCCCACTGACTCATAAGAAGTACATTCAGAACATTCTCATCCATAGCAAAGGATATAGGAAGCCAAGATCTTTGTTTAAGGGGATACTGGCAAAATTTCAGATCTCTCTATGATCCACCAATTTTACATTGTGATTTATTTTCCCCATGGTAATATTCTGTTTCTGTACATCTAAGTATCCCTCTTGCCCAATTTGTCAATATGATTGATTTCTGTTTTTCTTGTTTTCTTCACACCCATCTCTTCTGGGGAATCAACATGCAATAAGCATATACTGTGTGCCTTTAACTCTGCAAATAGGGAAAACAAGAGGAAGGCTGGTCAAGAGTTGAGTAAAATTTTAACAGTTTTATGTAGTTTTCAACCCTTTTTAGAATTCACAGAAGTGATGGGCATGATACACGTCTCCCACTAGTTTGTAAGCACCATTCAGCAAACATATCCTGAGAACTAATAAAGTGTTTTAAGTTTTCCACACTTGACTCTTTTACATTGTGTATCCTAATATTTCATCCATAGTGGGTGCTGAGTGTATATTTATGGAGTGGATGGGTGTAGATGCAGGGAGAATATCCCACCAGGCCAGGCCAGAGGTAGAGTAGATAAGGAGAAAGAAATGATTCTGAAGTGAATTTGGAGGCAATAAGGAGACCAAATTGGTACATATTAAGCATAGACTTAGAAAGATAGTCAGAAATTTGAATAGAAATTCTGTAATTATGTGTTAAATATTTTGGTGGATTCATATCAGGTTAACAATGGATGCTTCCTGCTTATTTTGGTCTTATTATATGGAGAAACATATTTTGGTATGTTAGAAAGATCATTGATCTTATGAAATGAAGGGAGTCTACATTGGAATCTCAGGCTGATTGCTTACTAGTTGAGTGAGTTGTGGCAAATAATTTACTCAATATGGGTTTTCTCATCTGTAAAATTAAGATTAGGCATAATTTACCTGTCAGCACTAAATGTCTGTTGTGGAAATACACACATACACATATGTGCTATAAATTTAAAATGTCCTAATATATATTATTATATAAATTACCTAATTTATAGATATATCTAAGCAATCTCCAAATCTTACTAAACTCCAATGATATAAAACTTAAGTCTATTTTATCGTAATTTCAAAAGCCTTACTCTCTGGTCCCATTTCAACTTTCTCTTTAATATGGTTTGTGCTTGACCACTTCACATCAGCACCCTGACTTGAAATGTTCTGCTCTCTCTTCTATACTTACTTGAATCCCTGCTTTCTTTAATGCCTATCATAAATCCCACCTCATTCTTTAAGATTTTCTAGCCAGGATTGCTCCTCTATCAAGATAATGACTTTTTCAAACCAAACACACACACACACACACACACACACACACACACACACACACACACACACCTTACACTATATATAACTTTCTAAATGCAAATATTTTATATTCATAATACATTTTTTTTCTAAGATTCAAAGTTTCCTAAGATCAGTATATTGTCTGAATCATCAGTGCATTCATGGACAAAATACTCAATAATATTTGCCGATTGATGAGTGGGCAGTGGAGAGTTTAATGAAGTTAGTATCTGATGTGATAATAGGACATATCTAAGGAAGAATTCAAAATGAAAGATGAGTAAATTAATGAAGATCTTAGCTAAAATGAAATAAGTGGGCATGGAGGGAAATGATCATATCTAAAACATGGAGAGAAATACTAATCAGTCTTCTTGTTAACAAGTTGAATAAAAGGATAAATTTAGACAAGCAATTGGGAGTAATGCATTAAGTGTTTGATTCTAAGATCAAAGGAGAACACCTGGGAATGTTGAAGGAAATGACTGGGAGTCAGAAATATGCATTAATGGGAAGGAGTCCAGTTAGGCCTAAATTAAGCTTCATTTTAGGTGGCCATTTTTAGGAGACCAAAAGAAATGCAACTAGAAAGGGTCTGACAGCATCCACTACAGAGCGCTGGTAAAGAGGAAATATGGTGATGGAGATTTCTGTCATTATACGAGAGCTCATTATTTGGTGAAGCAGATTAACACTCTAAGAGAATTATTTTGAGATAAAAGCGAAGCCAAGTTAACCTTCACATGCCTATAACCAGGGGGAGAGTGGAAGGAAAAATATATCTAGGGTGGAAGATATAAGAATTGTTCAGAAAAGTGCATTGTGAAACAGTAGATAGCGGATAGCCCAAAGTGGAAAGTGATTAGACAAAGAAGGAAAAAGGTAACTGATCAGAGATAGCATCTGCAAGTTTGGGCAAAAGAAAAGTCTGCAGAGATAAATCAACTCCAGGTAAGGCAGGGAGAGGGGGGCAGAGAAAACACAAGTGGTGAATAAATGCAAAGGTGCAGAGGAATTCAAAACAGGGTATGGTGATGAGGAAATGAATAAAACATTTGCAGAGGCATTTAAAGGGAATTGGGGTATATGTGGTGTGAGAAATAATAGAGTGGATTGTGAATACAAAGTAGTGAAGAAAAATTAGCAAAATAATATTGCCATTGATATTTTTATTATTAAGAGAAGGAAAAAGAAATTCAAATCTTTAGCCTAAGTAGAAATGTCCTATGGAGGTATTGAAAAATCAGTGTGGGGGTATTATTCACAATTCATTAATAAAATAATTAATTAAATTTTATGTGTTTAGAATACCAAAATTAAAAAGGGACAATTAGAAGTGAATTTCCCAGACTATGAAAGTGATCACATAACCACACAATGAGCGATTGACTTGGTATGACTATTTAATTTTAGGACCTCAGGTTTTCTATTTCCATTTTCCCCTCAAAATTTGACAACAGAATGAAAATATACCCTTTCACTGTGTAGCTTGCTAAGCTGTATCTCCACAGGTATTGATCACATCACTCCCATGGCATACGTATTCATATCCAAACACTAAGCCTGGTCTACCAGGACCTCTTGAAATGGATCCAGTCTATTGTTACACTTGTATAAGATTTTACAATGCTCTTTCTCCCACTCGATTAATATTTTAACCAAATTGTTGACTGTATATTTTCTATGTACACAACATATTTTTTGTCTCAAGACCATTCTGATAGTTGTCCTGTCCCTTACTGTCTTTTATCACATGCCCACTTCGAGTACACACTGAGTATACAACTGCCATGTCTTCCACCCTTTCATTGCTCCAAATTATCTTTATAAATATTTCAATGTAAAGGTCATCTTCTCTGTGAAGATTATCTACTGCACACCTATTCATACAGCCTTGATTTCTTGCTTCATGACCACCTTACCCCATGATACAGTATGTTGTCATTTATTATTTGTGTACTTGTGATCTCCTTGATGTATCAATTACCAGTATTTCTACAATAAATTGGAAAAATTTAATTTGATTTCTTGTCTCTCGGTGTATGTAACAGTATATGAGGGTGAGGGGCTAATCAAAAATAATAGAACTGAAACATCAATTCAGTAATACCAAACACCAAGAACAGTCTAGAGAGTATTCATTTTTTCAATGTTTTATCAAATGGGACAATCTATTACTAACCTCAGAGACAGCAAACAGTTATAAGAACAATCTTTAGTCATCTCTTGTCACTGTGTAGTCAATAAATGGTGGGATGAAGTTGAAAGGGCATTTGACCATGAGTCCCATTTTTTAATTGGTCCTGACTCTAATTTATTTGTGAGCAGTCTGTTCTCTTTGTGCACCTGAGGTTTTCATCTGAAAATGAGCAGTTTGGAACAAAAGATATCTCCTGATCTTTCTGTTTCCATGTCCTGTGCTTGTGGGAATCACAATTACTAAGTTTGTGTCTGGGGTAGCAACAGCAATCAGAGCTCTTTGATATACCATCTAGCAAGACAACTGGGACAATAACATTTGCTCTGAACTCCCAAAGAACTGTTTCTGAAAATTATCTTAGAAGTAAAATTTCCCAAATAATTCCCATTCTATGAAGTATGGCTCTACCTACAAAAATTACCTGCATTGGTGCTCCCATGACGTATTGGCAAATGTTTGCAATGGATTCCGTTACTTCCTTCCACAAAAGCATTGGGAGGCTTGTGGTACACAGAGGCCAAAGAACCAATATGGCAGATGAGCTCATCCAGCAGAGTCAGCCCAGTACGATCAGTCTCCTCAGAGATTACTGGCTTCTCAGGCAAGACTACTTCTTTGGCTGTGACATGGTCCATTGAGAGAAAATGCCAATAAATATGGCCCCTATTTCTAAGATCAGGATTATTAGAATCCTCTGTTGCCAAACTCAAGACCTGGTGTACCACCTCCTGTGTTTCTGATGGGTTCTTGAGAAACAGCTTCACTATGGCAGTGAGCAGAGTGAGCTGCCCCTGGGTACTCTCATCATGAACACCTTCCAGGAAGCTCTCTAGCAACTTATCAACATTGTCAATTCCTTCAGCATATTCTCCCACAATCCAAATCATCTGACTTGAGCATCTGGCTCATCCAGAGAATCTAAGTGCTCATACAGAGTATCCATGATGCTTTAACACTTATTGGGGTACTTGTGCAAGATGTCCCTGATGACAACAGTCACCTCTTGGACCACATAATTTACTTTGGTCTGGATGAGATCAAGCAGTGTGCTTACATGACATTCTGTAGATTGCTCCACCTTGATGGTGAAACTGGACACTAAATGTGTCCAAAGCTGCCTGTCACTACTGAGTCAAAAAGCAGAGACAAGGTTGAATCATTTATGATTCTTTATTTTATACTAGAGGCCCGGTGCACAAAATTTGTGCATGAGTAGGGTCCCTAGGCCTGGCCAGCAATCAGGGCTGTAGGGGCCTTCTGGCTGCTGGCCAGGACCTTTGTTCCGCACCGCCCCTGGTGGTCAGCGCATGTCATAGCGAGTGGTTGAACTCCTGAGGGGACAATTTGCATATTAGCCTTTTATTGTATGGGATTGGTGGCAATATGGAGTGAGCAGTGGACTTCATGCCCTGGAAAACTCCTGCTCCCCTTTCTTCTGCCAGCTGGCTGACTATATAGGGGTGAGGGAAAATAACTATGTGCAGCTGGGAGTGTAACAAGGGAAGAGGAGTATAGGGTCTGCAGTCTGGCCTCCAGGAACTCAAAGTCTGATAACAAGGTGGCTAATCTTCTATGATGTTAAAAACAGCTTAGCCTGTTCCTGGAACCGGAGAATGGTTGGTGTTCCTGAGGCAAACTCCCAGATGGGGTCAGGGTCCAGACACAGCAACCAAGTCAAAGCATCTCTTGTCTTTGGTCTGCTTTTAAAATATATTTCTTTTCTGAGTAATAGACCCATCTTGTTTCAAGGTTGCATTATCTTTTACAGACTGTTTTTTTTCTTGCAATACATCCTCCAGTTTCCCAAGGTCTATAAGAAAACCTCTTATCTATAGTTAGTAAGGTGAATAATCACTAAACAACTGTGGTCCTATTCCTATTACATGTCCTTCCCCATGGTACACTGTCCAATGACCCACAAAGCTTTGTGAACAGTCAGCATCCACCTCTGTGACATATTCCTTCAGCTCTGCCAGAACCTGAGCAATGTTGGCTTAGGATGCCAAATGGATCTGATGTCCAACTTCTGTAGTTTAACACAAATGGAATCATACTTCACAAAGAAGTCTGTGACTTCCTGATTTAAGATTTCAGGCCTTTTCTGGACAATTAGGTTGATGTTTCTCAGGGCAATGTACTACACCTCTGGCTTCCCAGACAGCAAAGTGACAGGGGAGGGCCAACTTCTTCAGCAGCATATTGTAGTAGTCAGATTCCTTGGGTAACAACTCTAGAAGTTTCACTAGGACTCTTACTGCTGAAAGCACCACTGCTGTGTTGGATGAGATAGCTGGGGAGTTACTTATTCATAGATACTCTGAGTCTCCTGATCATCTCTAGGGCTGTAATTGGACAGGAAGTCCAGGATGAAAATCTGGCCCTATTCAGTGCACTCATTCAGGGACGTCAGCAGCTTATTAATGTTCTGTGGGTTCAGATCCAGTAAGTTGCTGTTTAAGTGAGAGTCACTGATTTCAGATAACACTGCTACAACATTAGCCACCACCATTAGATTTGAATCTGCTATGAGATCACACAGAGAATTCAGAAATCCCTGATCTTCCACCATTTGGGCATTGATATCATAGACTTTTGCCATGCAGACTGCTGCTGTTTTCTGAACATGGGGTTCTTCATCTTTCAAGCACTTTGGGAGGGGCTCATGGAGATATTCTGTCATCTTGTCCACCTGGATGCACTCCATGGTACTGACTGCCAAAGCCAGAATCTGAGGATTGGGATAATCACAGTCCTTAGCAAAGCTGTTGACAGCCATGATGCCATATCTGGCTGATTCTTGGCATGGTTCATCCAGTAGAGATACACAAGCTTCTTTAGTTCCAGGTCCTCAGTCTGCACACAGTTTGCTATATCTGGAAAGAGAGAGCTAACATCCTCCCCCACAGTCATAGCAGCAATCCCCTTCTTCCCGGGCCCCTTCCTCTTTTCTTTATTTTCATTACTGAGTTTAGCCTTTAATTCAAAGATTTCTCCTTTTTTATTGGTTGTGAAGTACTTGGAGTCCATCATGGTGTTGGCTCTTTAATGTGCACTGGAGGCAGGGGCTGGGCTCAGCATTTCTTTTTAAAAATGCTTTGACTTGATGCACTCATTCCATATGATCTTTAAATTAATGTCAAGTTCCACAATGGTTTTTTTTTGGAAATACATTTTGGAATAAATGACATCCAGAAATATGTCAATGTAGTCAAGTCTCTTTTTATATTCTGTAATAAAAAATGCTCATCTTTCCTCATATAAGTTCTTTACACTTCAACTTTACTGATTCTTTTACCCATCTGGAGCTTGACTCCTTTTTTTTCTCCAAAGAGCCCAACCCTTCCTCTCTGCCCCCCAGGCCCACTCAAGTACCTTTCTGGTACCACTCCTGCTAGATCAAAAGAAAATCAATATATGGTGGAAATTTTGCATCTTAATTTGTTATGTCTTAGATAATGCTGAATATTCCATCTGCTTTCTTAAAGTTGCATGTACACACACACACACACACACACACACACACACACACACACACACGAGTGTACCAGTAGAACACTACACATAAATTAAAGAAGCTTCATTCATTTTTACAACTATCATGGATTTGAGTACTTTTTACAACTGCCCAGCAGATGGTAGCAAAGTGTCCCGAGAAAGGGCAGAGGGCATTGTAAAGATTAGTGGCTAAGCTGTCCATTTGGAGGTAACAGGACTTAAGTAGGCAGGAGACTGCTCAGTTTCATCTGAGACCCAAAGAGAATAGATAACACAAGGCGGGGAGTGTGGGGTGGGGTGGGGCAGGGGGGCAGTGGGAGGCATCTGGGCCAGGAACAGGCCATTTTTAGATTGGAGAATTTATCATCAATATTGTTTAGAATTGCTTTACACTTAGGTGATAAAGACAGATGGCAGTTTTGGTGTTGCTTTAAAATTTTCTACAGACAATGCTCCCCCTTGTTGCCTGCACCTGGAGGGACAACTCCTATCACCCTTTTCTTTCTTTTTTTAAAATATATTTTATTGATTTTTTACAGGGAGGAAGGGAGAGGGATAGAGAGTTAGAAACATCGATCAGCTGCCTCCTGCACACCCCGTACTGGGCTCCTGCACACCAAAAAAACATGCCCTTGACCAGAATCGAACCTGGGACCCTTGAGTCCGCAGGCCGACGCTCTATCCACTGAGCCAAACCGGTTAGGGCACCCTTTTCTTGATTTGCCTGGTAGATGACCATTGCTTCCAATTTACAAAATGAAATGCCATTCACCCAAGAACAAATTACAAAAGAGCCCCAAACGGTTTTCTCAACCAGCCTTTAAAGAAAAAGAAATTTAAAGATTTAGATGGGACTAAGAGAATTTTATTAGAAACAGAAGATTGCTTGAAAACTTTGTTGGAGAATTTTATTATTATGCTAAGTGAAATGAGCCAATTGGAGAAAGCCAAATATCACATGATCTCACTTATTTGATGAATCTAATGAACAAAATGAATTGACCAACAAAATAAGACCCGAAGCAGGGAGGCATGGAACGGACTGACATACTTCAATGTGGGGTTGGGGGGGTGAGAAGAGATAAACCAAAGAACTTAAATATTTATATGCATAGCTCATGGACACCGGCAATAGGGTGGTGAAGACCTGGGTGGGTGGGTGGGGCTGAGTAAAGGAGGGGGGATGGGAGACATCTGTAATCAACAATAAAATAAATAAATGAAAAGCAAATTAACTTCTGTGTGTCTTTCCCCTTCCTCCTACTCTATATGAGGAGGAAGAGGGCATTTCCCCCTCTTCTTTAAGCTCAGAGAGACAGGATTCAATGAGACCATGTGGGGATCTTAGCATAAATAGATTATTACAGTTTGGGGAAGGCAGTAGATGTGAGTCTAACATACTCAGAAGAACCCAAAAAAGCTGAGACTGGGGCTTTGGACACTGATGGCCAGTGTATTTATTTACTTCTGAGTAATGAATTATCATAACCTTAGAAATTTAAAGCAACACACCTTTATTATTTTAGTATCTATGGGTCAGGACTCTGGGCATGGCTTAATTGCATTGTTTGCTTCAGGATCACACAATGCTGAAATCAAAGTGTTGGCAGGGTTTTGGTGTCAACTGAGGCTTGACTAAGGAAAGAGTCACGTTCAAGCTTCCACTGTTGTTATCATAATCCAATTCTTAGTAGTTGTAGGACAACGGGCCCCATTTTCTCGCTGGTGTTTATTGGAGGTCTTTGTAGGCTGTTGGCTAGAGGCCACTCTCAATTCCTAAATGCTGTCCACAGTTTCTTGCCACATAGAGGCCCCTAAATAGCTGCCTGCTTCCTCAAAGCCAGCAAGGAAGAGAAAGAGACAGATGCTACAACCTTCTACACTGCAACTATTTAACCACCTACACATAGCCACATACAGCCTGGTGCCTTTGCCTTATTCTATTGATTTAAAGCAAGCCACTGGTCTTGCCTATACCAAGGGAGGCAATCACGAAAGACATGAGTTCTAGAAGGCAGGAATCCTGAGAGCCTGCCTAGATTCTGTCTGCTACAACTATACAGGAAGAATAGGTGGTATTGGGATGGCCTGCCCTACATGTAAGCCATGTGAAAGAAACCATAGCTGGGTGGTCTTAGAGCTCGCTCCAAAAGGACATCAGGAGGAAACAAGGAGATCTTGAAGCTGGAGATTTTCTCAGGACACTCAGGGATGGGGCAAAGGAGGAACTATGAGCAACCAGCTGAGTAAGTGCATTAGAATTTTGAGGGAACCATAGCCAATGAACCCCATGATGGAACCACAGGACATCCAACCCCTGACATCAAGTTAGGAAAGTACCAATGAAGGAAGACATTTTCTGCTCCTCAGCTCTTCTCATTCCTACCCTTAGCTCAGCAAGAATCAGAAATCCCTTTTAGCAAGCTAGCAAAGGACAGATTTAAAGAGAGAGAGAGAGAGAGAGAGAGAGAGAGAGAGAGAGAACATTTCTTTCTTCTTCCCATTTTAGACAGGTGTTCTGTCTAAAGCAGACCCTAACTGAGGAAAGGAAAATGTGTTCACTGTCATTGACAACTGAGTTTTGATTCTTGAGTAAGATTGTGCATTTTGTTACTGAAGGGACTGGAGAACTCTTCACTTGCTGTCAGTAATTCATCTTATATTTTAAATAAGAAGCTGAGGGGAACTAGGCGCACTGAGAATGTTTGGAAAGGACAGTTGTGGGGAAAGAGTAAGGCTGTTTCCTTTGAACACTGTGAGGCACAGAGATTTTGAAAATCTGAATAGGAGAAAAGGGCTATATTAGTTTTGGGTTCTCCATGTTGCATATATTCATGCTTTAGGAATTGAACTATTAAATTCCTTGACTCCATATGATTTCCTTAAAGAAGACTTGTTTATTTGCCAATGATACATCTGATAAGGGGTTAATATCCAACATTTAAAAAGTACTCATATAACTCAACAAAACAAACAAACAAACAGTCCAATTAAAAAATGGATGGAGGACCTGAATATAGACTTCTCCAAAGAGAACATATAGATGGACAATAGACTTATGAAAAGATGCTCAACATCACTAATCATCAGAAAAAATGCAAATTAAAAACACAATGAGATATCACTTCATACTTGTTGGAATGGCTATTATCAATAAATCAACTGACAACAAGTGCTGGCAAGGATGTGGAGAAAAGTGAACACTGTTGGTGGAAGTGCTGATTGGCATAGCCACTATGGAAGACAGTGTGAAGCCTCCTCAAAAAATTAAAAATAGAACTGCCTTACAACCCAGTGATTCCACTTCTGGGTATATATCCAAAGAAACCCAAAACACAAATTCGAAAAGATACATGCACCCCTATTTTCACTGCAGCATTTTTTGTAATAGCCAAGCTATGCAAGCAATTTGCATTTCTCTAAGGAAATATCAGAGAGCAAATTCACTAAGCACTTCCTGAGGGGGAAAGTGTGGGGTTTTCCAGCTGGTAAGAAGGATGCTTTCTGCTGGTTATGCAAATAGTAGACTGAAAACTAGCACTCTGGGTGGGAAAAATGAATTGTTTAAAACAAGTCCTGTTGTTCAAAGTTTATAATCATTCTCCAGTTTCAGTGGATTAAAGTAGTTGTAATGAGACACACACTTGGCTTTGATTTATTTCCTAGAAACAATTGTCTTTTGTGGTAAAAATTAATTGCTAGCCAAAATTATAGAAAAACATTGATGAACAAATTTTTTTAAATGTCATTAAAATTTGATATAAGATAGGGGCTGTGTGAGGGGGTTTAAAGATGAAATATAAAATTCTTTCAAATAATGGTTTTTAATAATATCTGCAAAGTGATAGTAAAATGGCTCTATATCCACTCTCACTGTCTGGTTTAAGAAAATACTTAGGAAGACATCTTACCAAGTCTTAAACATGCCATTTCATAATTTTTCAAATATTTGCAGCTAGATCTTTAAATGGGCTCATAACTAGTCACTTGAAGTATGCAAATAAATTATCATTCTTTTGACTATGGGAAGACAAAAGGAAGCTGATGGTGAATCATCCAGCTTGCTATTGTACAGCTCTCATGAGGATGAAAACCCAGTTCACCAAGGAATTATCTTGCAAATTCAACACTAATTGTAAACAGATAATTTACCTCTCTCTATCTGGCCTCTCTGTCTTTCACCAAAATGATGGTGACTTTATTCAGCAATAGAACAGTGCACAGCTAAGAGACTATATTTTGCAGTCTTCCTAGTAGATAGAAATGTCAGTGTGATATGGTTCTGGCCAATAAGTCCCAAAAGGAATTTTGCTGGGAGATTCTTGGGAACGTGCCAATTTCTTATTTAAGGCATCATTCCTTTTCATATCTTTCTTCTTCCTATGGGAAGGTGAAAGGAAGCTGATGGTGAAGCATCCAGCTTGCTATTATACAGCTCCCAGGAAGATGAAAGCCCACTATGAATAGTTGAGCAGAAAGATAGAGGAGCTCAAAACACTGAGGATATCGTGAATCTTCTTCATTAGCTCCAGACAGCCTCCCCTGACATCTTGGATAACCTTACTTTCCTAAGCTTTGGTGTTCAGGAATCTGTGGCATAGAACTAAATGCAATCTCTAATTGATAGACTAAAACAGGCATCTCTAGAAAGAATAAACATAGTTCATGCAAATGAGAAAATAAACCTGAAGATATCCTAACAGAGCAAGGTTCAAAATGATCTTCACTAATAGTTACCTTATATACCTCTTCCGACACTTTGGAACATGCCATTATTTAATACTAGAGGCCTGGTGCACAGATTTGTGCACATTGAAAGGAAATTAATTAGAAGAAATATTTTAGAGGATGGGGAGGAACCGTGGGAGGTTGGCTCCAGGGCCAGTCCAGCCCATCTAGCCCAGTCCCGATTGATTGGCTGGACCACAGCTGCAAGCTAACCTACCAGTTGGAGTGTCTTCCCCCTGGTGGTCAGTGTGTGTCATAGCAACCGGTTGAAATGGTTGGACACTTAGCATATTAGGCTTTTATATATAGACTAGAGGCCCAGTGCACAAAAAATTGTG